TGAAATTTTAGCAAAAGTCATTATAAACCCTACAAAGCATTAGCTTTAATTGACAATAGTCTACATAACATAGACCAAAAATTTCTACAGAGAAAGTACAAATTTGAGATCGATTTTAAGCGATCGTTATTCATGTATCCACATACAAAAAAATATATTACCCTTCATATCAATTCAGGTCTATTACATGCGCCCCACGCTTTTCATTTTCAATCTCATAAATTGCTTATAATGACTTTTGCTAAAATTTGAAAATCAAAAGTTAGGGTGTTCCAAAAATGCATGTGAAAAAGTAAAGTCGCAATTTTTATGCTCTCAGCTCCTAGGATTATTGTATACCGAAAAAAAAGTATACCCCTGTTTTTTTTATTTTGAAATCAAAAAATATTTAGAGTTCGCTCAAAGCGCTCAAAGTTTTCCATGTATTTTTATATGGGAAAAAAAGAACTTTTCGTAGAAATGGTATAGAATTCTTGAAAATCAATATTTTTTTATCAGAAAACTCTGTTTATCTGCAGGAGTTTCCCAATAATAAAACCCAATTGTCTTATTAACCATTTTTTCATTGCAACTATAATTTATAGGTCCGCTAAAAACCCACAAAAACTCCGAAAAAGGCAATGGGAGGACCAATAAAAAAATCGTTTGTAGTAAAAATGGTTAAATTAGGTATTGCTATTGAAAGTCTCCTGAAGAGAACCAGAGCTTTCCGATCGAAAATATTGGTTTTGAAGAATTCTATTCCATCTAAAAATACATATAAAAATACATGGAAAACTTTGAGCGCTTTGAGCGAACTCTAAATATTTTTTGATTTCAAAATAAAAGAAAAATATAGGTATACTTTTTTCGATATAGTACAATCCCAGGGAGTGAGAGCATTACAATTCCAAATTTACTGTTTTTGGACCACCCTAATGCACATACATATACTTATTGATATCCACACACACAAACTAATGAAATCTCAGTCTACCCAGCAGGGGGCGTAAACGAAGCTAATGAGCTACATTTAGATGAAGGGTAAACTACATACATTTAATTAAATAAATTCTTTGCGATATGTAAGCTCATAAATATTAGAACTTCATATAAACTTTGGCATACACTCCACTTCAATTGAACACCACCAGCGTTTTTCTTAAAGAACCAAAATTATATTTCAACGATATTATTGAGCTTGAAGTCATTACATATCTACAACAGCGTCTAGGCGGTAGCAGTTATAAATAGCTGATATTACAAAGGTCTACCCATCATATTTTAATCTAAACTTCAGCTAGTGGTTGAAAATCTATCACACGTATTTCGTGATCCTTGGAAATTGTACTAAAGAGTTTTGCTAAAATTTTCATGTTTTTTTGTGAAAATTTCGAGGATCACTTGTTATGGTTATAATATACATGTGTACATTTTTCCTTACGATTTTTCATTTAGGAGACAATTAAAAATGCTGAATAAATACGAAGGTATTTCTTTGATATATAAGGAATATATCGACGGCTGCGTAAAAGATCGGGCGTTCTTCAAGCAAATTCTGAAATAGGGATTTCTTGAAAAACTTGCTGAGATAGGGCATTTTCGTACCGTAAACCAGAAAATGTAAATAAAAGTTACCATTAAATCCTCCCTCATGAGGGAATATGACCTTCTCATGGCTCAAGGTAATTTATTTTTATTATTTTGAGTAAGAAATTCCAGCTACTTACATAGTTGAAGAGTGATATCACTTTAGAAAGAACTGGTAATTTTTGGTTTTTTATTTAAACTACAGTCGCGGTCAAAAATGGATGAATGGTGTTTCGTTTTTAATATTTACAAAGCTTTTCAAGCCTTTTGTTATTTTTTTTATAAAAATATGGTTCATGCTTTAACAAAAACTGTATAAATCACACTTTCAGAGTTTATAAGAACTTAGAAAAAATTCACAAATTTTTTCCTAAATTTCGAGCATTTTAACCAGAATGTCTAGAAATTTTTTGGGTATGCAGTTAACAAGCTTATGAAATTCTAGTAAAATAAGTGCAAGTTTTGAGCGGTTAAGGAATCGCATTGATTTTTAATAAGTTTTTTTTTTATTGTTGACAGCGTTTTGAATATCTTATGGAAATTTAGATAAAAATTTGTGAAATTTCTGTATAAAGTTTGAAAGTGTGATATTTTTATAAAAAAAAATCTAAAAACTGTTCGCTTGAAAAATATTGTAAATATTAAAAAACAAACACTCTTTATCCATTTTTTACCGCCTCTGTATATTCACATTAAATTACTTTGTTTCGATCAAATTACTTCACATTTTCTTTCATAATTTCTCGTACGTGGTTTGTACTTGATTTCAAAAAACAAATGCTTGCATACCTTTAGGCATTTTTTAAAATTTCCTCAACAGTAGGGGCTAAAATAAACGAAAAATCTTTTTTTTCTGCATTTAGTCCTTGATTTATGATAAATTATCTCATTTCTATTTAATTTTTTGACAGATTTTACAAAGCGGAATTACTTGATTTCAGCATGATTTGCTTATAAATGAGACGTAAATTACGATAATGTGAATATGCTTTTAGATACTGATTATAAAATGAAATGCTTTGTAACTTGGTTGGTTCACCCGAGATCCTTCAGGATGTTTTTTGTCACCATTCCGGGTTTGTCTTGCCTCACTTTCAAGATTTCGGAAAAGTTCGGGATTTTGTTCGTGACTTTTCGGGATTCTTCGTGTTTTGAATTTCCGTATCTTTCGAGATCTTTTTCGTAGGTTTTTGGTATTTTCCTATGCTATTCTAGAGATTTTGGGACTTTTCGGTATTTTTTTGGGGATAATTTTCAGCTGTTTTGGGATTTTTAGAATTTTCTTTTCGAATAGAAGAAATCGATGAAAAAAAAATAAAAAATAGTAAAAAACAATTTAAGTCAAAACATAATTAAATTGGTATGCTTCTAATTATTGTCGCTTTGGGATTTTAATATTTACTCGAGGCTTTTCAAGAATTATCGCAGTTTGCCCGGTACTGTTCACGATTTTTCAATGCATTTTAGCATCCTCCGCATTTTGTTTCAGACATTTTTGTAGGATTTTTCAGAAAATTTAGAGAGTTTTATGGGACTTTTCGGTGTTCTTCATGTTTGCTGTTTTTCCTTATCCTTCGGGGTCTTTCTAGGAACTTGTTCGTATTTTTTGGCAATTTTTATGATTATTTCGAGACTTTTCTACACAATTAAATAAATTTTAGGATCTTTTCGGTATTTCATTAGAGAATTTTAGTCAAAAAAATAAATACAATTTTTTTAAATTGCTTTTTTGAATGCCAAAGAACAAAAAAAAACAATAAAAAATTAATATTTCGTACTCAAAATAATTGTTGCAATTTCAAAAAGGGCATATTTGTGAAAATTTAAAGTAGTGAGAAGAAGAAAAAATAAGTTATCCTATGGTTGTGATCTTTTAAAAATTTTTTGCTCCCCATTTTTTTCAAAAATGCTCATTTTAATGAGTTAGTGCAGTGAGGTAAATGAATTGAGCTTTAATATTTAAAGTATTGCCCACTGTTCTACAGGGGCAACACAGCCACTGTTGTTATTGTTTTTTATAAGAGGATACAAATTCGACCAGGATTATCTGAAATTTCGGCACTTCAATTTTCTATGTGCCAATGTATGTATATAAATATTTACATCCAAATAATGGTGTTCCTTTCGTTATACACACCACAATGAAACGCCACAGGACATCAGCGATTGTGACATAAAGTGCCATTATTTTTCTATGGCATGAATGCAAATAAAAATATATTCGTACATTCACTTATGTATGTATGTATGTATGTATGTACATATGCATGTAGCCTATTTACAAGTAGATAATAAGCATGTTTATGGAAAATGAATGAATACCTATAAATTAAGTCGCCTGCGGTTAACGAAATGAGAGAAAAGAAATATGAAGACTATGAGTATTAAGATAAAGACAAATGTGGTGGATTGACATGAAATGATGACATGATATGTGAATGCGAGACACCGAATTAAATAACTATTAACTATCAAAAGATGCATTTGGATAAAAGAATTTATGGTATAAACGTCTGAGTGACATATTGCCACATAATTGTAGGTACTGTGAACATTTTTGTCAGTTAGTAATAGCCCAAAAACTGTTTGTATATGTACATATATTTGTGTATAACAGTATTTATTGCTAATGTGTCACTGGTTTGTTAATGAGTTCATCCAATTTTTTGATGAACAGCTACTACAACGGAGAAAATCGAAAACATTCGCTGAGTTTAAGTCGCCATTTTTAATTTTGCAAACTCTGACAGCGGATTCGAAATTAGCGACCCCGTAGACCTCCTAGTACGAATTTGCAAGTAATTTCTTTAAAGCTTCGAATTTTGGCCGCACTTTTGGATTTCGGCCGCACTGAGGGGCGGGGCAGTGGCAGATGTAATGTTCAATAAGTTCCCGTACAAAAAATATATTCTCAAATTTAAATCGAATATAAAGTCCAATCCTACGACATTTTGGAACTTCATAAAATCGATAAAATCATGCTCGTCAATATACTTCTGACAAAATCTTGTAAATTTTGACAGAAAAAAGTCACAATTTCCTTCTCATTGCTGCTCTCATTTTTAAGATAAGAAACCATTTTCGGACTAGATCTGACTGTTTCTAACTATTTCTGGTAGATAAGGAACGTAGCTTATTATGATTTCTTTTTAAAATTTGCTGGCGCCAGATTTCTTTGGATTGTTTTTGGAATCAAGCAAACACTGCCAAAAATGTTATAGCTTGTCCAGCTACGAAAAGTAAGTAATTGCAAGTTGTATTTGCTACAACATAAATACATACATACATACCTATGTAGAAGTACAAACAAATACATATTTTTGTAAATCACGCAAAATATCGTATTGAAAACAATCATAGAAATCTTGAAAAATTCGCGTTGTGATCAAAGAAGTAATAATTAATGTTTAATTTTCCAAATGTAAACCAAACAACAACAAGTGTCCAATATATCAATCAACAGGTCAACAAAATTTTGAGAGAAAAAAATTACATTTACTCGTTACTAGGATGCACGCTAATTTATTGGCATTAATGGATTTTGTATGTATCTGATATGTATGCACATCAGAGTGCATCACTTACAATCAAAAAAAAAAAAAACAAAAAAAAATCTACAGCGCTTTTTCATCAAAATTACAAAATTTATTATGTTTTAAGACTTCCGTCAAAATTTTAAGATTTTTACGAGCTGGACCAAATTGAAAATTCCTCCAAAAATTATTATTTTTTTTTTGTATAATTACCTCAATTGATAGAAGAGTTATGTTTCAGCGGTATCAAGATAATTAACTTTTTGCAGGTATTTTGAAATCGATCTAGCTCGCGTAAATCTTAATATATTTCTGAAACATTTTGGCAAAGTTCTTAAAATACAATACACTTTATTTTAAATTTTTTAATCCTCCGCATGAAGGCGCATGGCCACCAAACGTGCATTGTCCTGTAATCGAAATCACCGCAACTGTCAACAAAGTCAAGCAGGTATGGGGTGGTAGTTAAGCAATAGCAAATCCTGTATGCCACTTCACAGCAAAGGCATGCAAGATGAAATGGCATTTGAGCAGAAAATCTGTGTACGAGGCAACCCAAGTTAAAGTAAAAGTTACAGCAACTTTCTTATCGGCAAAGTTAAACATTTTACTGTGCATGTAGCAGATATGTACATACATATTTACATATATGTATGTGTATGTAGACACGGCAAATCCGTATAAGTAAACACTTTTAAAACTTTAATGCACCCTTCACATTCTAATAATCCATACTTAACTAAATGAAAGCATGTTTATGTACATATATACATACATAAACGGATGTTAATAAGAGAATTGGAAAAAATATTTAAAAAAATATTTAAAAACTCTGTGCAATGTAGATTAAAATGTGGATATCATATTCAAGAGAAAATTCTGTAGAATTAAAAAAACTTTAGTTTTTTGGTGTATAATAACGATTAGGTATTTATTGAAAAAGTCCTTTTAAAATTTTATTCTTGAATATCCTTGACGGACAGTAAAATTTTTTGAAGTTTCATAAATTGTGAGTATTCTCAATGGCCTCGCCATTTTAATAATATGAAAACAATAAATCACAGTATTTTCTTTCCCATATTTATACCAATTTAAATCATTAAGTATATCTGTGCTTGGTATTTTTTTTACTTACGTGGTTCGCATCTTTTTTCATTAAAAATATATAAAATCTATAAACTGTTAATCGTAATTTTTTTCTTAATTTTATAATAAAAATCCCGAGCGCACTATTTTTTTATTTTCTTATTTTGAATGCAATTTTGCGATCCTAAAATCTAATTCGAAAGAATGTTCTTCCCAAATAAAAGCTTTTTATAATATTTTGGTCCAAATTTACTTTAAATATTTTGGTTAGCGTATCACCACTAACTTCAAAAAAATTTGAATTAAAAATATCCAATGTATGCAAAAAACTTGAATTCGGCTTGCGCTAACCACCCTCTGATAAACAACTATGTAGTATAATTCTGATCACTTTCTTCATGCGTTCTGAAACCTAGTTTCGTCAACCACATTTTTGAAATTTAGTATGTATTAATTTTCAGTTCCATCTTATTCCACATCGTTGAGTGCACTGATCTGCTTACAAAAAAAAAAAATTACTTCTAGTGATCAGATAGCATGAATTTGATGAAATGTCAAAATTTTAAAAAAGTCAAATGGTTAACAACAACAATGAATGTCATTAAATGGAACTAACTTTTTTTGTAAATTAAGCGAAAACAAAAACTAGAGCCAAGTAAAAGCAACAACATTGAAATGCGTCAATATGAAAATAAGGCAGCACGAATTTCGATGTGAGGTAAAACTCTCTGGGAAGACAAGCCTGTGAATATTTGTACCATAAGTTTCACTAAATCTGTAAAAACTATATGAATTTGTTTGCCTAATAATATTTCTGCAACTTTGTCCATTTTTGATTGTTTTTGGACTTTGATAGCTTTCTAGATAGGAAATTTTAGGTTTTTAACTCTACTATAGAACGATGAGCCGTGGACGTATTACGATAAGGGAAGGTGGGTCGCCAGTTGGGAAAGGTTGGGAACCACTGGTATAGACCATACATTTCATGTAGCCTCAGAAAAAGAAGTTCAACGTTCGTTGTTTCGTGATATAATGTTTTCTGCGAACTTTGTTGTTGAAACCACATATGTATTGTCCAAGGTAATGCCATCTGATTCAAGCCATGATGACGTTCACCGTAAACGGCGTTACCGGCTGCATATTCGAAGGACTACTGTGCGATGATTCCACTAGTCCGCTACGTACAGCGCAAGTTCATTAACTTCCCAACTTCGCCGATGTTCAAAAAATCATAAGATAAATACTCGCATGAAAGAGGTAGAATTACTTTAATAAGCTGCACTGATTTTTGTTAATAAAGCGTACATTAGTGCAGAAATGTATATATATAAGGAAAAATTGAAAAAATAAGCACAATAATAGAAGCGAGACAAACAAACATCTGCTTAACGTTGACCCCGGTCAACGCACAAAATTTAGCTGGAATTTTTGCGCATGCACATAAGCATTTACCTATTTACAAGTGCACAAAGCGAATTTAAATCTGCAATCTATGAACTTTTGTATACATTTGAGCAGCATTGAACCCAGCAGCAATAAAAAACTTTCGAAATTAGGATAATTTTGTCACATTCTTTTTTTTTTTGGTTTACGCATTCACACAATTGTTTACATGCGATTTACAAGCTTCAATGCGTGTCAAGGAAACACGTACATACACACATTAAAAACTTTGCTCAGGCTTACAAGCGTCAACAAATAAACTTGCGCGCCACACAATAAAGTGTGTAAATGTAAGCACAGATTTGTACAATTTGTACGCACTTAAGCCCAAACACATGCCAGCACACGCACACACGTACACTTATATACTTAGTATGTATATGAACTCACAGTTCAATTGCCGAAATAANAAACTTTGCTCAGGCTTACAAGCGTCAACAGAATAAACTTGCACGCCACACAATAAAGTGTGTAAATGTAAGCACAGATTTGTACAATTTGTACGCACTTAAGCCCAAACACATGCCAGCACACGCACACACGTAGACTTATATACTTAGTATGTATATGAACTCACAGTTCAATTGCCGAAATAAATCACGCGGTCACAAAGATCACAAAATCCCAATTGTTTTCGCCTATAGCACTTGCCATTTCATTCACTTTTGTTTCGTCATCTGCTCTCACTCTTTCCTTAATGATGGCACTTAAGAAGTCCTTTGATTTTTTATTTTTTTGCCATAAACTCGTAGTAAATAATATATTCCGCGTACATGTGTGGATGCGTGTGTACTCTTTGGTGTTCGCTCTTAAAGTTCAATGCCGCTTTTACTCTCGAAAGTACAGCGGCAGCAACTTAAATCTAAAGGTTCTGTAATTTGCCGCTACTTGGCTTTGTGCAAAGTTGTTTAGAAGTTCAAACTGGCACGCAGAATTGTGGGAAATTAGCTATAAAATAGTTGGAATTTTTCTTTGTAACGGTTATTGACAGGCATTAAAATTCATTTGTAATCAACCGTAATTTTTTGCCGCGTGCTGCTGCCAAGAGTTCAAAGGTAAAGAGCCTTGAATTGTTTATGACTTCTGGGTTAGATAAAAAAATATCAACGATTTAATAATTTATGTAGGGAAAGAAAATTTGAATTATTTGTTGGTTGGTTTTTTTTTCCGACAGGGTGGGCAGATGATTTATTTTGCAATTCTCTGCAAAAAATTAGACTGAAGTTTGCAAAAGGTCGAAACCGGTTTGCCTCCAAGCCAAACTTTACAAGGAAAATTCGTTCCAACATACATAAATCAGAACTTCATTTGTTTGATTTCCTAAAGATTTTAAAACTGCAGTTGTATTTCTTCGATGACCTTGATGTTAAATAGAATTTACCTTTAGAGTAGTTANGGCAGAATTGTGGGAAATTAGCTATAAAATAGTTGGAATTTTTCTTTGTAACGGTTATTGACAGGCATTAAAATTCATTTGTATTCAACCGTAATTTTTTGCCGCGTGCTGCTGCCAAGAGTTCAAAGGTAAAGAGCCTTGAATTGTTTATGACTTCTGGGTTAGATAAAAAAAATATCAGCGATTTAATAATTTATGTAGGGAAAGAAAATTTGAATTATTTGTTGGTTGGTTTTTTTCCGACAAGGTTGGCAGATGATTTATTTTGCAATTCTCTGCAAAAAATTAGACTGAAGTTTGCAAAAGGTCGAAACCGGTTTGTCTCCAAGCCAAACTTTACAAGGAAAATTCGTTCCAACATACTTCAACTTCATTTGTTTGATTTCCTAAAGATGTTGTTCGCGCAAAATGTTTTTGACTCTCGATTTCAAAACTGCAGTTGAATTTCTTCGATGACCTTGATGTTAAATAGAATTTACCTTTAGAGTAGTTATGCGAGTTGACATTGTTGGTTGCGGTTTTATTATTACATATTAAGTAATCGGTTTCATTTGGCTGGTTTTTACAACGCTTTTNTTTGGTCAAATCTAGGAATTTGAAATTTCACCCCCTTCCGGTTGATTTTTTGATCTGAAATTTGAAACACAACATTAATTCTGACGACAATACAATCATATTTATTCAGTATCATTGTAAATCCATGACGGCCGCCGACACCAATTTGCGGATTCCATATTTTTTACAACCCCCTCAATATGGATATCAAATGAAAGCGATTGACTAGCAGAATACAATACACCATGGAAAAGTTCCAAATTGACGTTGGCCGCCGGTAAAAAATTTCATAATTGTTTCAATCCTCTTAATACGGGTAGGTTAGGTTAGGTTGGGCGACAGTCCTAATTAGGGCTGACTTAGACCGCTAGAGGTTTTTGTTTCTAACGTCCATCGCTTAGAGGTCATTGAGATCGTCGAAGAAACGGCTCCCAAGGGCTTTTGGTCTCCGTTTTTGATAGAGCCGGGCAATGGCAGAGAAGATGTGACATGGTTTCTTCTTNTCTTTTTTTTGGTCAAATCTAGGAATTTGAAATTTCACCCCCTTCCGGTTGATTTTTTGATCTGAAATTTGTAACACAACATTAATTCTGACGACAATACAATCATATTTAGTCAGTATCATTGTAAATCCAAGATGGCCGCCGCCGACACAAATTTGCGGATTACATATTTTTTACAACCCCCTCAATATGGATATCAAATGAAAGGGACTGACTAGCAGAATACAGTACACCATGGAAAAGTTCCAAATTGACGTTGGCCGCCGGTAAAAAATTTCATAATTGTTTCAATTCTCTTAATACGGGTAGGTTAGGTTAGGTTGGGCGACAGTCCTAATTAGGGCTGACTTAGACCGCTAGAGGTTTTTGTTTCTAACGTCCAAGGCTTTTGGTTTCCGTTTTGATAGAGCCGGGCAATGGCAGAGAAGATGTGACATGGTTTCTTCTTCGTCTTCATGCGTCTAGCTTCGTGTGATCTAATCACACAATGTGCTGTGAGAACTCCAGTCACTATGGGGAAGAATAACGGGCTTAAAATGGAAAGGCCTAACAATTTTGTTTTGCTTACAAAATGAAGACGTCCACGAAAATTTTAAAATTAAAAACAAAAGTATTAGGGGTCGCTAGCAAGGTTTGACGAAAAAAAAGATTTAAAAAAAATTAAAAAAATTTACCAAATTTTCACTTTCATCAGCTATAACTCAGTGAATCGATACATTTATATGAATAGGTTTCAATAGTATATAAAATCTATAGGATTTCAAATCACA